CTGCTCTCCAAGCAGCAGCTCTGCAGTTCCTCAGCCCAAAACGCACAAAGCTTTGTGGTTCAGGTGCTGTAAATCCTTTTTCTGCATTTGTCTCTCCCTTTCTCCAGGCAGGAAAGCTGTGCTGACACCCTCCCCAAAGGGCTGGAATTCATGCAAATATATAATGGAAATACAATAGTAAATAAAAATGAAATTTTGCTTTATAACAAGTTTGAAATGCAAATACCTGCTTTAAAAGCAGTTAACGTGTGTACTTGGTTTTTTGCCTTAAGCCACCTGACCTCTCTTTATACAGGAGGTTAAATGTGTAAATATTTCCTGGAAATATTTTGAATAAACATAAATACGAGACATATCAAGCTATTTGTGGATAGTTTAGTGAAGATTAATGACGACATTTGCAAACAGCTGACAGCTGGGGTCTCAGGGGGAGCAAGAGGAACTTCCAGGGTCGCATTTTCTCTCACTTTTATACTGATGCAAACCCAGACTGAGCCTTGGACTCAGAGCAGCAGAAAAACTGGAATATTCCCAGACATCCATCGAGGAGTAGGTGCTGCTGGAAGGACTGGCAGCATCTGCCTGGGAGAGTTTCAAAGCCCAGTTTTCACCTGGTGCTCAGCTCTGGCCAGAGAGAAGGTCTGGCTGCTCAAAAATGCTGAATGAAGACCTCAGATGGCAGAGCTGTCAGCAGATCTGAGCTCTGCTACCTCTGCACATGCAGGCATCCTGCTGACTCATTTTCTTAATCACCTCTGAAATTCACAGGCAGTTTGAAAATTCCCTTTCCTGAGGAGGCCATCAGAACACAGATTTATCATAACAGAATGTCAGGGAAACTAAAGCAGCCCAACAAATACATGTAGGCAATTGGGTTTTATTGTTTTCTCTGTTCTGCTGCTGCAGAAAGTTACAAAAATTCCTGAAGATGGGATGGACTGAGGTGAGGTGCATTAAAATAGGCAAACTACAGAAAAAGCTTACTTAGAAAACCAAGGAAAATTGGATTGTAGATTAAAATAAAGCAAGGAAAATCTAGGCTTGAGTCTGCACCAGAGTGAATTAAAGACCAAAAACCTTCCACTCCTTGCAGTCACGTGTGCAGCTGAAGATTTCATTCTACTCCTACAGGATCCGTTTACATTTTATGCTCCTATAAATGGAGTGAAATTTCCTTTATGAAACATTCCAGGCAGTGAAATTTCCTTTATGAAACATTCCAGGCTGTTTTTAAGAGCCACCAGGCTCACTGGGCAGGTGAACTTGGGCTTGCCCAACAAACTGAGCAGCACAGAGCCAGGAGCCAGCAGGCACACGGACACTGCAGCCAGCTGCAATTCCAGCCTGAAGGGATGCCAGAGCTCGGGAATGGCCTGACCATGAGCACAGGTGGGGATTGCCATCGCTATTATGGGATGGAGCCCCCCTGCTCCCCCTCAGCCCCATCTCCTGCTTAGGGTGGGCTCGGTGCTGTGCAGAACCTGGGGGGGACCCTGGAGGGGCTGGGGGTGCTCAGCTCCCTGCAAAAACCTCTCCAGGCTCAGCAAACAGAAGGGAAATATAATTAGGCTGAAGAAGAAAAGCCTGCAGAGGAAGAAGGGCTCTGTCACAGAGGGGTTAGAAAGATTCCCAAGGCCTCCAGGCACAAGAGGAAGTCTGAGGCAGATTATTCCTCCCTTTTGTAGGGCAAATGACTAATTATACAAAGCAGGATGTTCTGTTTCAGAAGAGATTTGGGAGGTATCATGCAGTATTGATGCAGAAATTGTATTTAATGAAGGTTTACAAGGCGAGAGGTAAAAGGAAATGTAAATGCAAACATGGTGTTTTATCCTGTGGCTCTTCCCTCTGTCAGAAATCTGCCTCAGTGCTGGAAGTCTCCTGTGAAACAGCAAAATTCTCCCAACTGGAGGCAGTTTCAGACTTCCACAGTGTGTGTCCAGAAAGGGAAAGAAGCTGTGAGCCTAATCTGACTGAATTTCCATTGTTGTGTGCTGTTGCTATTTATTTTACTCATTTTTCTTTCAAAGGAAGAAACACAAAATCCCTGTTAGAGGGAGCTGGATCAATACTGAGGAATTCTTTGTCAGATAAAGTAAGAGCAATCATTAACCTCGCTTCTTGTGAATTAAAAGCAATCTCCACTTTTCAGCTCACCTCTCCCACAGCAAACTTCCCTCATTTTCTCAGCAATTAAAGCCCAGCTCAGCCACCCAAACAAGGATTGCAGCAAACAGCCTTGGAGCCCTCTTCCTTCTGTTTGAGTGGGAAAAAAAGAGGTGTTTTCTGATGTGGATCAGGTATTTTGGTGGTAGGGACTCTCCAGGCTGCTTCCCCAGGTGTGGATTTGTGGATAAGGGGTATTGTTGATAGCCCTGATGTCTCTTGGAGCAGCACGTGGAGAAAGTTAGAGCCACAGCCCAGCTCTGCACTGCTCCAGCTGTGGGGCCCCTGGCCGAATTCCAGCCCATTTTACTCCAGTGGAAGTCATCCAGGAGCTGGAGCTGCTGGAGAGAGCCCAGAGGAGGCTCCAGGGTGGGCAGAGGGATGGGGCAGCTCTGCTGGCACAGCTGGCATTGTTCACCTGGAGAGGAGAAGCTCTGGGGTGTGTGGATTTGCAGAGCCTGAAGGAGCTGCAGGAAAGATGGAGAGAGAAGATTTCCAAGGGATGGAGGGACAGCACACAGGGAATGGCTTCAAATTGGCAGAGAGCAGGGTCAGAATGGATTTTAGGAAGAATATCTATAGAGACACCTGATGTCATTGTCCACAGCAAAGCAAAATCAAAACCCAGTTTCTAAAATGATTGTAAAGTTTTTAATCTCTGACAAATGATTGATCTTTCAAAATCATCAGCAGTTTCAAGTTCCAATTGAAATTTCTGTGCAGATGGAATTATATTTGCTGCTACTTGTGCAGTGTTAAAAGGTTATGGACAGAAGAGGTTTGAAGCAGATGTTGAAATAGTGTGGAACTATTTGTACATTTCTATTTACAATAAATATTTTTGCCACAGCTTTGTCTTGTCAGAGTCCTCATGTGCACAGGAGTGAATCTTTAAATCTGCAGATCAAGTTTCTACAAGAGGTACAAAGCTGTGCTGCAAGCATTTGTTTGATTTTTTGTTTCCTTTCCTTGCAGTAAATGCTGCTTCCCTGCTGGACCCTTCCATCCATCTTCGTTGTGTCACTGAGCAAGAGGCTATTGATGCATTCCTAGAAAACAGAAATATCTTTGCCTCTTGCCTGATCAATGGGATTCCTTAAAATTTGAGTTTGGCCTCCTGAATTTTAGGGAGCTTGATGCTTGCTAAGAATTTTGGCTGCTTTATGGTTTCTCAAAGATTGGCTGAGTTCTACAGAATTAATGCTGCACCCTCAGCTCTCCACACCAGCTGAAAACCACTCACCTTTGCCTACAGAAAGCTTTGGTGTTCAGCTGAGAGTGGATTTTGGTGTTTTTATTCCTCCTCTTACTTTCCTGTTGCTTCTTTAATTTCTTCTGTCTGCACCCAGAGATGCCTTGGCCAAGCAGGGAATGGAGGCTGCTGCTGGTTAATGGCTGACCCAGGCTGTATTCATTGCAAAGCTTTTACAGGCACAAAAAATTTCTGTACTGAAGGCATCTATCTAAAATTAGATTCAATTCCCTCAATTTCTTACAAACCCTTGGTGGTTTTTTGGTTAGGATGGAAATCTGTGCAGCCAGTTGTGCTTCTGGGAGCTCAATGCCATTTCTGTCAGTCCTTGAAGTGAGGTTTAGGTAACCCATGAGATTATTTCAAATGGGGCTGGGGGATGCAGGAAAGATCTTGTCTAGAAGCCACCACCAGCACCAAGCCACTCATGTTTTTAATAATCTCCAAATTCATGGGAGAACTGAGCTAAGGCACCTGCTCAGTCTCCCAGTCCTTCCAACACACACCATAAAAATAAATCTGTGTTAGACAGAGGTGTTAAATCCCACCCTAAGCATTGGCAGCACCGTGTGGGGCACTGGCCCCGTTAATCCTCACAGGGCAGCAGGACAGCCCTGCCGCTAATCTCAGGTGTGATTTGAGCAAAGCTCACATCGGGTGCCTGCCCCAGCTGCACACACCTGCCCAGCTGCACACACCTGCCCAGCTGTGAACACAAACACCTGCCCAGCTGTGAACACCTGCCCAGCTGTGAACAACTGCCCAGCTGTGAACACCAACACCTGCCCAGCTGTGAAAACTGCCCAGCTGCACACACCAACACCTTCCCGGCAGCCCCGTGCCCCGGAGGACTCGGGCAGGTTCAGGTGCTGCCTCTCAGGGAGGCTGCAGCTCTTTCCCACCCTCCTCCTCCTCCTCCTCCTGAAATCGGGGTGCTGCGATGTTCTGGCGCTCTCCCTCGGGCTGTGCAGCCGCCCCAGAAGTTGCCAGGGAGGACAGGAGCGTACGAGAGGAGGGGGCGATTCCCAGGGGAGCCTCTCTGGGGCTGAAACCTCGCTAGGTGAGAAGCGGGCAGGTTTGCTGTGACCTCAGCGCTGCGGAGGGGGGGATTTGTGACGGGAGAGCGGGGGAACAGGGACACAGAGAGAGAGGGAGGGAGAGAGAGGGAGGAAAGGGGAGTGTGCAGCTCTGCCGCTGCTATCAGAGCAGGATCTGGCAGCTTTGGGAAGCTCCCACTCTCCGCTCCGAGCATCCCGGATCCGCAGCTGGAATCGCCGGCATGGCAGCGCCAGACGGGCTCATTGCTCCGCCGCCTCTCGCTTCTCTCTCTCAGCAATAATTCACCTGAGGGCTTTTCTTCACCCCACCTCCCTTTCGCACGCTCTTTTTTTTGATGTGGAGCGAGGGGAGAAAAGGGCGTTCTGGACAGAGCGCGTTTCTCCGGGCGGCTTTTGGCGGCGTCGTTTAAAGAGCTCGCCAGAGGAGCCGGGGAGGGGAGGAAAAAAAAAAAAAAAAAAAAAAAAAAAAAAAAAAGAAAAAAAAAAAAAAAGAAGAAGAAGGCATAAAGCGGTGGCAGCGGGAGGAGGAGAGCAGAGAGGAGCGGTGGCCGGAGCGGGGCGCGGTGCGGACCATGGGCTGGCGGCTGCTGCTGCTGGCCCTGGCGCTGGGCGGCCGCGTGGCCACGGCGCAGAACGACACGGAGCCCATCGTGCTGGAGGGCAAGTGCCTGGTGGTGTGCGACTCCAACCCGGCTCCCGACGCCAAGGGCTCGTCCTCCTCGCCGCTGGGCATCTCCGTGCGGGCGGCCAACTCCAAGGTGGCTTTCTCGGCCGTGCGGAGCACCAACCACGAGCCCTCCGAGATGAGCAACAAGACGCGCATCATCTACTTCGACCAGGTGAGCGCCAGGCACCGCGGGCTGGGCGAGCATCCCCCGCAGCAACAGGTGCCCGCATCCCGCATCCCGGCCGGGAGCTGGGAATCCGCCCCCGGGAGAGGGGCAGGGCAGGGCTAGCTAAGCCTGGGGATGCACAGGTTCCCCGTTTGCCCCCCGGGTGCGGAACCCGGCCGCTCCGCGGCTGCGGCCCCGGGAGAAGCGCGGGAGGCGCCGCGGGAGCGGCAGCGCTCGGTGGCATCAGCGCGGTGACATCGCCCCGAGGGGTTTGGGGCGATCTCAGTGTTGGGTTTACATGGTTTGTGCAGCTTTTGAGGGGGGAAGAAGAGAGAATTGTAAGGGAAAGCCCTGTAACTTTCGCGGCACATTTGGCGGTCCAGCTCCGCTCAGCCCAGCCCCGGTGTTAGCGGGCAGATACCAACACGCGTTTCAATCCCAGCTCCCGAAGTCATTGAGACTGATGGCTCTCCTTGTCCCTACACCCTGCTGTGCTGAGCAGTCGGTTGTGGTGGCAGCTGGAGCCAGGTGTGCCCCGCAGCTTAGTGCTGGCACCGAAAATCACCCCAAAACTCCATGGACAGTCCTGGAGGCTTCCGAGGGCTCTGCCTGCCACAAAGGAGCCTGGAAATGTCAATTAAAAATGAAGCATAATTAGGTGGTAAGAGCAAAATGCAGTCATTACAGAGGATATGTAGCATATGGGTGATGCACTCATCTGGTACATTCCCCTCTGTCACTTCTCTCTGTTTAATTAAACCCTAATTATTATTAGTGCTGGTGCAAACAGCAGATTCTCGCAGCCAGGCTGTGCTGGCTGTGCCAGGTGCTCCAGTAACTCAGCCTGGCTGAGAGCTGGGTTTGCCTCCTGCTGTTCCTGCAGTCCTTGCTCACACCTGGCTCCTTGGGAAGGCAGCGTTGGCTTGGCCACTGCTCTTCAGCCAAAATCCACGTGCCACTCCCACAATTGGTGGTTTTATGTCATTTTGGGGAATGACGAACAAAAATGCCTCTTTAAAAACATGTGTGGAAGAAAGGACTTGAGGGTATGGTGTAGTAGCAAAATAAGAAATAATTCCCATCTTAGTTTATCTGTTGTCCTATAAATAAAACTAAATACCAATTTAATGAGTTATTCCAAAGTAATAGAGAGAAAATTAATAAACCAGCGTAGGTGCAGGTTAAATTTTCCATGGGCAAATGGTTTCTAAAGTAAATAAATTTTTCTTTATCACTCACTACCTGTACTAATCCCCATGCTGTATTTTTCTGTTTGTAGATCCTTGTAAATGTGGGCAATTTTTTCACGTTGGAGTCTGTCTTTGTATCACCACGGAAAGGAATTTACAGTTTCAATTTTCACGTAATTAAAGTCTACCAGAGTCAAACAATTCAGGTATGTTGATGAGTATGATTATAAAATCTTTATTTAAATGGTTTATTTAGGATAGACTATTGACTGAGCACAGGAGCATTTAATATGATTTTAAGGAAAAATAGCTTCATTTACAGCAACCTGTGGTGTTGACTACCTAGCAGTAGAGCCCATTAATTGAAAATGAACAGAAATAAGGCAGGATCCTCACCTCAGATAAATCACCACAACTTCACTTCCATGCCATGAATATCTGGGGTGACATAAAGCATTCCATAGAATGAATGATCCAAGAGTAAAAGAGAGCTCAGAATTTCCCTGACATGCTGTTGAAGAGTCGTGTTTGCTCCAGGTTAAACTCACAGTGTGGAGCACAGGAGTTCTGGGTACCAGATTTGAGTGGTTTTGGAACAATTTGTGCCCTGGCATCTGGTGCCAGGTACCTGGTTATGTCCTCAGTGTGCTGAGGACCAAGGTTGGTTATATCCTTGTAGCAATGTCTTCTAGGGAACCTTTACAGCAATTTAAACTCCTTTTTTTCATCATGTAATGTATAAAAAGTGTGTGATGTATTAGAGAAAAGGGGTAACTCTGCACTCCCTTCTGTAGCTTAATAGCAACGGAGCTGCCTGATAAAACACAAGAGGGAAAAGCCTTTAAATTCCTGAACATCCCCTTGCTGAGCCAACAGCAAATTCCTTAAGTAATTCCTTCATCTCCCTGCCAGGTCACGCAGCTGCTGTGACACCTCCTGGCTTCCCGAGCTGGAGGAACCTCTGTGGCTCCCCTGGTTTCCAGCCAGGAGAGCTCCAGGTCCACTGAATGTCTGAGCTCTTCCTGCTCTCTGCTCTCCTGGGTGGGTTTGAGGTGTGCCAGGCTGAGCTGAGCTGGATTTCTGCAGGAGCAGTGCTCAGGGATCTCTCTGTGCCTCTCTGGGCTGCTGGTGGAACTCCTGGCAGAGCTGGTGAAACCACGACCCCATCTCTGGGGAAATCCCCCTTCAGTGCACACTGGAAAATCCTAATTCCAATCAGGTCAATGACAAAGGCTTAAATGAAACACTGACCTCACAAAGATCTCTACAATGAGCTTTTAATCTGTTTAATGTGCTCAAAAAGTGTTCTTTTCACTCTCGGGCATGCTGAAGGTTGAATAACTGTATGTCAGCCCCTCCAGTGGATTTAAAATGCCCATTGCCAAGAAAGATGCCAAGCCTTGGCTTCTGGAAGTCCAGCTCAGGCTCTGGAATTTCACAAACCAGGAGCTCAAACCTGGGAGTCTGGGGCTCGTGGCAGGGAATGTTCCAGCCTGTGGCTCATGGCCTGAAATCTTTCATGGGTAAGAGGTTCTGAAGTGATGGATGGGTTTTAGAGCAGTGAGTGTGAGACCATCCCCTGCAAACCTGTCACGTGCCTTCTGTGATTAAACTCCTGTCAGATTATTCCAGTGGAACCTGATGGAACAGAAAGAGTGAGAAACCCAAGCCAGGCCATGAGTAAAGCCCTGGTGTCCTTTTCCTGTGGGGTAAACGGGGAGGAGAACCAGAAACCATTGCAGTGGATCAAACTGGTGTGAGCCTCAGCCACAGCCAGCCCCACTAAATCACCTGCAGGCTCCCCACACAAGTGATGCTGCTCTGCCCCCACAACATCTGTTAGAGCCATTAAATACCATTAAACTGCAGTTGTTTCCCTGGAGACACCTGATTAAGTGGATTTCCCAGACAGGTGAATCCCAAATAAATACCAGCCTCTGCTGCCCTGACTTCTGCTGAGCACTAATTTATTCTGTGGTGACTCCCATTAAAATTAATGGGACCATATGCACGGCCAGCACAGTGCATGTGGGTAAGCATCCCATAATTCACCCCCTGTGACTGCATTAGAGCTGCTTGGAAAGGAAAAGCAGCAAAGCTGAGAGCTTGCCATGGGGGAAATGAAAAATGCCTGGATCTGCCCATTCCCCCAGGCCCTGCCCATCTTTATTTAGAGATGCTGCTTTCAGAGCAGAGGCTGTGCTGCCTTCAGAAGTGTTTTATAGAAAAAATGGAGCCAGTTTATAAAGCTAAAAATCTGTTCTAAACTTCAGAGCTAAGTATTGAGAGGGACACACATTTTGTTCCCAGTGAAGTGTGAACTCCCAGCCCACTGTGGTCCTTCTGACACCTCATGTAACATCTCTGGGTGCCCAAATTTTTTTAAGATGTATATTTCTTTTTCCTGTGTGACTAAATAACCTTGAGACAGGCAAAGTTGTACCAACTGAAGTGATGCCTCACTCAGCTGCAGGTCCAACTCATGAACATCCACATTCTTGTGCCAAATAAATGTCATTATTACTTTAAAACAACCCAAAAAGCACCGAAGATTGGGCCCTTGCACTGTGTTTAATATTCAGGGATAGTTCTTGATGGTTTGCAGTTAATTAGAGCTTCTCAGGGGCTCTCTTGCAGGTGAATTTGATGCTGAATGGGAAGCCAGTGATCTCTGCTTTCGCTGGGGACAAGGACGTCACCCGTGAAGCCGCCACCAACGGGGTCCTGCTGTACCTGGACAAGGAGGACAAGGTTTACCTGAAGCTGGAGAAAGGAAATCTGGTTGGTGGGTGGCAGTACTCCACATTCTCTGGCTTCCTGGTCTTCCCCCTGTAAAGTCAATTCTCCCGTGGCGTTCATCCAGGTGTGGACTCATCCTTGCCCCTGCTCTGTGAAGATCGTTTTGCCAGCATGGAGTGATGGTTCCTAATTTCTTTCTCATGGGTGGTTTTGGATTCTCTCCATGGATTCTGGCCCCATCTGAACTACTCAGAAGTTCCACAGAATTTTGTGTGTCCAATATCTTTGGCCTGAGACTAAAGCAGACAATAAATATCGACGCTTAAGGTTTCAGCCTAAAGCTGCCTGCAAGATTTATGCCAACTTCACTTCCTGGATTCGGGGAAGAAGTGGATTTCCTTTAACTGTGAAAAGACTGGCACTGAGTCTTTCATGTAGGAGAGTTTGAGTTCAGACTCCAAGCAAGAGTTAGTGTGTTGCTGCCAAAGAGCTGTGTGTTGATATATTGAAATATTGGTCATGTTTCTGTCCTGGGCCTGCACTGCCACCATCCATCCCACTGTCTTAGAGAGGTCATTCACATCCTGAGTGGCTGGCTTGAGCTCTCCTCTGCGTGTTGTATGTTGGATGGTTCTCCCAAATATTTCAGCTCAGTCCCAGCCAAGTCCAGCCTCCATGAACTGAGGGGTCATGGATGTGTTCTGGTTGGGTATGGAAGGGGTTCCTCTTTTCCACATGCTGATTCCTAAAAGGAAAAGCAGATTCCAACCATTCAGGGTTAAAGGTGGGCATGCAGGTGCAGCTTTGCTAAACAGCTTTGCCCTGCAGGACACCTCACACTCGTTCTTCAATTTAATTAACTTGATTGATAATTACTGCTTCATTCAGCTCCTGAGGGATTCCTTCCTTAGACACAACCACTTTGTCAGCTGGAGATGAGATCCCCCTTGTTTTTATTTCTGTGTATTTTCCAACCCTTCTGTTGTGCTAAATGTCTTTTCTGGTTTTGCCTTAACTCCACAGGTGTATAAAATTTTAGATTATTTGTTTAACAAATATGAAAGGCAAATAACTGGTACCTAACTTGGTACAAAAGCTTCCCAGCTTTTTGTACAGGTCATGTGAATTCATAAACTTATTTATTATCTCATTGTTCCATAATAAAGATTAACATATATTAGCTGAATTTTTGACCTTTGGATTTTGGGAATTGCTTCATACTATTTTTTTATTGGATATAATTATTATATGCAAAATGGAAGCTTTTGGGATTCACAGAAAATATCCCAGGAGGCAGAAAAGATGCCATGAGTTAGTTAGCAATCAGAGTGATCTAGAAATAACCTATGCATTTAATTTAAAAATAGAATTTAGGCAGAAATCCTGGCCTCACTGAAGTTGGTGTTAAGAATCACATTGATTCCAAAGGATTTTGGATGAAACCTCTGCTTTAGGTTCTGCCATCAGCATCAAACTCCAGTGCCATCAGATTGATATATTCAATATTCAACATTTAATACTCAATATTCAATAAAATGATTTTCACATGAGCTGCTAACACAACCTTCATCCCTCGTGCCCCAAATACACTGAATTGTTGGATCTTTGTGCCTTGCATATCATGAAGGATGTGGTTCTGAATTAAAAACTTCTGTGTACTTGAAAATGCGTGTGGGTGGAAGCATCTGCAGCAACCTGGGGTCTTCCCTGGGAGCCACTTTGGGCTGGGATTTGGGATCTGTCTCCAATTCCTTCCCTTGCTGGCCGAGTGCAGTGTGTCCTGTTGGCATTCCACTGATTGGGAATCTGATCCGAGGCTGCTTGCTGCTCCTCCTGAGGATATCAGGGAATTGGTGGCACAGCCTTGTGCCCAAATTCCTGATTTCTTCACCCACCACACGGGAGATTTTGGGCCGTTTCAGGAGGGTTGTGGGTACTTTGCACTCCTGTAAGTCAGCTAGGAGGTGATTTTTTTACACAGTTTTTTTTTCTGCACTGAGCACTGCAGCTGGGGAAGAAGTGGAAGGACCTGGCAAGAAGGTGAATTATTCACATTGCTGAAAAATCTTAAAAAGTTGTGATGGCCGATCAAAATGTGTTACTGCTGTACCCCCAAATGTGTGTATATAAATATATGTATATCTAAGCCACCTGGAACTGCAGGTCATAGTTTGCATGATGTTATAAAGAGGTTACTTGTCCTAAGAGTTTATTTCAGATGGGAGCATTGGTATTTTGTATAAAATTGGTCAAATCTGCCATCTCCCCCTGCCCATGGATATATCTGTAATGTACAAGAAATGTTGCTACTGAGACAGAAGAAAAATGGCATTAAAGGTGTCAGTATAATTTCTGAATGAAGTATTTAACTTCTTTAATTTGTGAACACATGAGCTTTAAAGGCTGTTTCAGCAGCCAGCAATAATCCTGAGCTATCTCAATATTGCTTTGATTGCCCCTCAGCAAAACATTTCTGATTTCTTCAGAGTCATTAATGCTTATTTAAACTTGAGCTGGAGAGACTGAGGAGCTATTCACTGAAGGGATACATTTTGATGGAAAAGCTTCTAAAACCAGAACTGCCAATTAATTATTTTGCTGGGGGAAGGAGAGGTTTAAGTGGAGCTGCTGTGATCACTCAGAGGTGGCCTCTGGGGCCAGGCAGGTCACACTTAAACATTTAAATAAGAACAAACTGCAGGGTTTAGACCCAACTTGAGCTACCAGGTCTGCCCTCATTTTTATTGTGCTGTCCCAGCTCAGCTGTGCAGCTGCTCCCAGAAGAGAGAGGATCAGCCAGGCTGGAAAATAAAATTCCTTTTCCTTCTGCCTTCCATGTCCTGCCACAACATTTTCCTGCTGAGGAGCACCAGCTCCACTTCACTTTTTAAGGGTGTTTATGGTTTCAAAGAACCCCAGCCCTGCACTGGGCTGCTCTGTAAGGTTAGAGCTGACTTTCTGATCCTCTGCACTTCCAGCAGCCTCACTGATTTTGGGGAGGGCACAATCCTCCCCTGCTGCACGAGGTGAGGATCCACACCCACATCCCGCACCCACTTTGCAGGAACTTTGTACCTCACAAAGGCTGATTGTGCCAGAAAGCTTTATAGATGTCTTTAGAAATCTAAAAGAATCTAGAATCTAAAGAAATCTTCATAGCCACACGTGGTAAGGACAAAAGAAAGAAGTTACTTTCTGAGAATAAAATATTTATTTTATTCTCAGTGATTTCTTTATGAACGAGAGCAGGATTGTTACTTTTTTTTTATCTGGTTTATTCATATTTTATCCTTTTTTTTTTTTGGTGAAACTAAGGGGAAAACCCCTCTCTTTTTTCCTTTCTTTCACTCCTCAGTGATGTAGATGCTGTTGATAGAGCTCACCTCTGTTCACCCAGTGTAGAAATCTGCTCTGTTTGTTGGATCCTCTGTGCTGTGAGCAATTTGGGCTGCACAAGCCAAAAAACTGCAGAGCCCTGAAAAATTCTGCTCAAAAGAACTTGGTGGCAAAAGTATTTTTGAAAAGGCACCGAGGTAGCTTTGAACTTTTCACAAGCACTTTTGTCACTAAATACAAAGGGAAAACCATCTTTGAACCATAGAGAAGGAAAATATATTCCCTTTTCTTAACAAGGCTTTATGTGTGGTTTATGTTACATCATTTTCTAGCAATGTCTGAACATTTTATTAATTCAATCACTTTGGCCTTTCTATTGCTCAGCAAGTGTTTCAACCAACTGAGAAAATGGAGAGGGTTTGGGAAATGATTCCCAGGTGCCAGCACATCCAGTCCTGGTCCTGTTCAGTTTGCTGGATCAGTTCTCTTTCTGAGACAGGACATTTTTAAAATACAAAGGATGGTTCTGGAGTAAATGGAATTCTGCTGTGTTTTCCCTTTCCACATTTTATCTACATATGATTCCTAGAAAGACAAATGCAGTGGAAGAGTGTGAGATGCCTGAAGAATTTCCCAATTAGCTCCAACTCTTTGTTTTAGCCCCCAGAGGAACACACCTGCACACAGAATATTTTTACAAGCAGATTTTAGAACAGAGAAATAAATGCAAGGAGCTCTATGTCATAATCACACCAAGGAGCTGAGCCATTAATATGAAATACAGGCTGAAGGAAACAGAGAAATGTTCCCTTCCTTGATGTCCTCCTCCTTTTGTAGGGGGTTCTGAGCTGGGAACATCTTCTACCTCAGACATTCATGGTGCTCTTTACATTGTAAGGGCTCTATGAAATATTCAGACTCTTTGTTTCCCACAGATAACATCACCCAGATCACTCAATGGGAATACATGAAAAGACCCAGGGACAGAATTTATTGGCTGGCATATGCCACAACAACTTTTTTTTTTTTTTGTGCTCTTGCTGTCCAGACAGAAAAGGCTCCTTTGAGAAAAGAAAATTGTCTTAGGCCCTCAGCTGAGGTTATTTATCTGTTGCTGGGTGGGAATAGGGAGGGGAATAAAGCCGTTTCCTTCCCTAGGGGGAATTCATGTGAAGAATGATGATCAGATCAGTGCCTGGGATGAAACTGGTGATGGGGACAGTGGGAGGTGGCTGGGGGAGTCTGTCTGGTGTGAGCTGAGGTGTTTGATGGAGTTGTGATCGCTGTTTTCATCCTCACACTTGGAGGGAAGGGAAATTTGCATCATTTTCAACAGGTTCTTCTCCTTTCCCTCTTCCCCCCATTTTCCTTCTGCCTCGTGCTTCTTCTTTACTGCAGAGGAACAAAGTGATCTGCAATGGTCTAAGAAAGGCTCATTTCTGGAGAGGGATGGCAGACGTGGACATTTTGGCTTTTGGCTTTGTTTTATTTTTGGTATCTGATGTGGGGGAAATACCCAAGAGGGGGATGAGAGGAACAAAATAATTCAACCTGAAGACATTCTTCTCCTATTATCCACTTCACTGAATTCCCTAAATCTTTTTGTTCATACATTTTCTGCAGTGCATGACCCTGACCCATCCTGTGGTAACTGATGCCTTTTGGTCCTGCAGGAGGAAAAAAAAGATGTCCAGGTGCAGGAGGTGGGCAAATAAAACAGCTTTTGCCCTGGATTCCCTCGGGGGTGGATTTATTCCCTC